ATTCAGCAAACTGTTAATATGAGAATTTGTGAATATACTTTAAATGCTTGTGGTGATTAACATTCCTTTCGTATAATTAACCACTGCGTTAAGTAGGAGGAAACGTTATAAATACAGTGTTATAATTATAGCGATGGTTTAGATTAATTATATTGTAAATTTTGGAAATTTAATTAACTCCATAAATAGACACGGTAATGAAATATGTACATTAGAAAGTTATAATAAAACAAACTACACCGAAAAGTTTCGACAAGAAATTTCAAACAACTTACCTTCGTCATTATGGAAAGCGCACGAAACTTCGACAACACGTCGCAAAGTATGTCGGCTTAAGTTAATACTTGAACTTCGGAACATTTGATGTATTGAATAAGTTATTGCTTATAAGTACGCGAGTTTCGTAGCATACTCGTAGTTCGTAGCAGTTACATCGCGCCCGGTTCAAGGCGCGGGGTTCTGGCAGGGCGGCGCGACACGGTATGACGGCGGGCGCCCGCCCTCGTAGTACGCTTGCATTTGCACGCAGCTACGGACACTTGCGTAGCGTTTGGGACTAATTACTGGTTAGGATGAAAGGGAACTTTTTGCTACGCTTTAACGCTTTTCTTGTGTTACGCGATTAGTTAAGTAAACAGATGAGGTTTTTGAGATAAGTTTAAAATAAACATACATACGGGGATTTAAACTTTGATATAAAATGTATTATTTTTCTTTTTTAATAGTTTTCCCCTTTTGTTCATAAGTTTATACGTGATGCACGTTTGCACTATTATTATTTTAATCAAATAAAGGTGTAAATCTTGATTTTATTGCAAAACTTTCTTCGAGACGATAACAATACAACTTAAATCTTCTGTGAATTTTCGTTGTTAGTTTTTAAAATACACTTCAAACGACAATTATCCTAATGAAAATGTTTTAGCTTTTTAAAAGTGTTTTGCATTTTTATATTTTTTGCTGCACCGCCTTTAAGAAACGGATTTGAAATCTAAATAGTATTGTTCAAACTACAACAAGTTTTCTTGATTGTCGCTGTTAGGAATAAAAAGAAGTTGTAGAAAACTTTACGAGGGACAAAAGAAAACTAGAATGTGTTTTCAAGGTTCTTTAAGTAATGAACAGTTTTGTATTTGCGTCTAATCATTTGTATGTAAAAATACTGTTTTGTGAAATCGAGACAAATATAAACATCATTCAAAATCTAATCGAGTAGGTAAACGTAGTCGCACCAATATTGTTATAAAAAATAATAAGTGAGTTATTTTTTTTATCAGCCGGCTTATGTTTTAAAATTAAAAATCGTTATTGATACTCTAAAAAGTATCATTTACATGACATTAAATATTTCATTTAGTACTTAAAATAATGTCTCGTCTGAAACAAAAGTAAAAATAAAAATGATTCTATTTCAGTATCCAATTTGCAAGTTATTTTTAAAGAACAACAAAATAAAATGACAGCGAAAGTCAGCGCTTAAATTAGCAAGCTTTTATCTGTAACTGCCATGACACGAAGCTTATTTAAAGCTTCTGTTACATTTCAGCTCCAGTGTGGACCATAAAGTAGGCCACAGTCCCGAGATTGGAGCTTTTACGTGTTGATAACATTCTCATAAACGTGTATCTGTGACTATTAGTGCGGCGGCATCCGGTGGCCACACGTTCTCACACCCAATAAGCCTGCTTTGCATGTACGTGGCATAAACATTCATATTTTCAGTATGGATTTATTGACCTTAACGTTTTTGGAGGATTCTTTTTAAGCTTTTCAGGGTTGTGTGGTCACAAATGGTTTTTTAACGATTCTTATAATTAGGTGCCATTAAATTTTTACCTATGGTAAAATTATAAATATTTCTATAAACTCTAGATTAAACGATAAAAAAATCCTAAACATAAGAATGTAGACATGCACTAATAAAAGAGGATTAAACCTTTACAATGAGAGGGTTAAACGTTTTTCAGGCATACTGACAAAATTACGTTCACAAAGTCATGATGGTGGTACCGACGGATAGGTATACTTACTAGATGTAGGTAGATGTTTAATAAATTACAAGAAATTGGCGCTGCTTTATCATGGTGGCTCACACCACCTTAAAGTTGACCTCTGTAATACTGCGTTGAACTTGAAACTCATACCCTTTATGAGTCATTTTAAAAGGTTCTTTACAATTTATTTACCTGCCAGACGATACAAATAATAAAAGAAATACAATACAAAATTTAATGAACAGAAAGGAGTCAATGTCCTAAACAATTTGCGTTGGAATTGATTCATCGCTTCGACTTCCAGTTTTCCTGGCTGCAAGGGCGAAGGCAAATCGAGCTACACACTGGCATTTTATCTAGTTGTAATAAGAGATATTTTAAAATTAACATATTTATTGTGATATTTATCTATTGTTTGTTATGCCGTCGATTGTACAGTCAGCGTCAAATAGTTCGTGACACCCAAAGAGGTGAAAAAATTGACAACACAACTTTATTCCAATTGTAACAAAGACGTGTTGCGAACTTTTTGGCTACTTTGGATGTCACGAATAATTTGACGCTCACTGTAACTAACTTTTGATCAATAACTAAATAGTTACGAAGGAAAAAATATTAATTGCTATTTAATGGCACATAAAAGTTATTTTAACTAGAGGAAATAATATTCCTAAGAGAACCGCGATGTGTCTTAAACGTAGACCGCAAAGTAAAGTTAGTGTTAAATTACGACTTTACTTGAATACAAACATAATAATTAATGTCAGCTCCGTCAAAGTTTTTATGGTTGTTTATCAAGTTTTGTAATATTCCAGTTGCGGTGGGCGGACGACGTTACATTCTCTGTAGTGACACTTTTTGCTCGTCTTAAAGCTGCCCGAAATGTAAGCGCATACCGCAAAATCATCCAAAGTTATTAAGCCAGCCATTGAACCTTCTATGGTTATTTTACAAGTTAGTACAAAGGCTTAATGGCAGTGGCGGGGGAACCTTGAGTTTATTTATGAGAGATTGGGTTTGATTTCTAAAGTTGTTCATGGGACCACCGAATAAGTACTTACTATGGGACAAACAACCAAAGTATTTCTCTCTGTCAAAAAGAAAAATTCGTGGGCGTAAATAAGTAGCAGCTAACCATAAAATAATTTTACGTCGTAAAGCTTCTTCTGCTATCAAGAAGAAAGTTCCGCTCTATTCTATGTATAGAGCTTTTGAAGCTCTATTTATCAGTTTTTATTACAACTGTCTTTCTAGCTTTACTTTTTTTATTCATTTTTTTTTATTCGGCTCATTTCCCCTGATTTTTTTTCAAGGATTGTATTTTCTCAAGGGGTATTCTTTTTTATATTTTTTTCTTTTTTACCATGCATTTCATTTGCCGTCTGGCTGAATAATAATTTTACGCCGATTTTTATTTATTTCTAGCTTTACTTGACAGATTATATCTCGCACATAACCCACGCAAAACTAGGTTGACCCATTAGTTCACACTATAAGTAAGTAGTTGGTGCGTGGGTCAGCTTTTTGCATGTAACATCTTTGTGGACCCGATCCTGATAAGGACAAGGGGCGACAAGTAAAAAGCGCTATCTGAAAACTTTCGGCAAGTCAGAGAGTGAGTCACGTTAAGTGAACAAAAATAGCCGAAACAAGACCAAAACTTGTGTTACACAACATTAGTTTTGCGGAGTTACGAACATTTTTGAGGATTACAACTGAGAGATACTTCGTGTATAAGTATTTCTATTTTGAGTTTTGTTTGTATTAGGATTTCGCGTCCCTATTAGGGTATTGGATATCGAGAGGATCGAATTACTTATTAATATGCTTGTATAATGTCTAAGAAAAGAACTAGATATCTATTAATAACTTATAATATTCAGTCCGTGTCTGCTTGGCGCTTGTCAAAAGCAATAACATCATCATAAGCCGAGTATATGTTTTGTTGCCGTTTTCCCTAGAGTAAGTAGGTAGGGTAGGTTTCTAAAAGGTAACTAATTGCTACTTTACGAGAATTCATTTAACTACTAAGTAGTAGAGCCGTAAATATCCCTAACTGGGCCCTCTGTAATTTTGTGAGAAGTAAATCTGAAATTACGGTTGTAAAACACACCACAAGCTACTACAATAATGGGTTATAATAAGCGCCTTATTTCAAGGTTGATAAAGTCTAAATTCGACGGCAAGTGTAAATTTAGTTAAGCACTCCCATTAATTGCAGAGGTCTTTGCATCAAAACCATATAAATGGCTGTATTTTGTGTTTGTTGGTTGTTTTTTATGGGACAGGAGGCAAATATTTTGTGTATTAGAATTAACAATTAGGTATCAACGTCCTTCATTATATCTAATACCAATAGACACATCTATACTAATATTATAAAGCTGAAGAGTTTGTTTGTTTACTTGAACGCGCTAATCTCAGGAACTACTGATCCGATTTGAAAAATTCTTTCAGTGTTAGAAAAACCATTTATCGAGGAAGGCTACAGGCTATATACCATCACGCTACGAGTAATAGGAGCAGAGCAACAATGAAAAATGTTGCAAAAACGGGTTTTCACGCGTACGAAGTCGCGGGCATAGCTAGTTATATTATAGTGGTGAACATAATACACAGAAATAGATAATAATGGTTTAATTAATCGTCAATTAATATACAATATCATTATGTTAAAAGAATACATCACTGTACATTAGGATACACCTCTAGACAATGTATCATACGTAGTGATAACGATAAATGTGTAAACATTGAACGAAGTGCTCTCAAACTTGTATATTACATTGTCTACAGGCTTAAACTTATCACAAATTACATTTATCAATATCAACAATCTCAACTTTTTATAACGCAGTAGATAGTGTTACATTATTAGTAACAACTTATAAAGAAAACGCAATTACAAACAACGGCGCATCAAGGTAAATACAACAAAAAGATACTGAATCTTATTCGAATGTAAATGAGCGATGAGAGGTGCGATTTGCAACAAAAAGATATACCTACTTACTTTGATGTGCCATCGACTGTGACGTAATAATTATATTACAATTAGAACCCTGCATATTACATCATATTAATTAGTCAGTCTAAAATATGTACAGTCAGTTTCAATAATATTGTACACTCAGGAAGGTCATTTTCCTTTCTTAATAAAAAAGAAACATGGTCAAAATATCTTAACAATCACTATTACTTACTTAAATGCAGTGGATTGGTTATTTTATTATTGGATCGATTTTATTTATAAATTATGTTGGTCTAGTTAATAAAATGGGAGTTGTACAATACAAGTTGTACACTATCATAAATATCTATAATTTAAAAGAATAAAAAATCATTATTGTAAATAATGATAGTTATGTTATGTCTTATTTCTATGTAATTTAGTATTTGAGCGGATGATAATTTATCGAGATCTTAATAGATAAAATAATTACATGTATGTACTCGTACTAAAAAAAACAGATATTTTCTGCAACCAAAAAACTACAACTTATTAAATAAAAATGTTCCTTTTGCATTTTAAAGAGGCAGATACTCACAAACATGTACGAAACAAGCAAGCTAAACGAAAATGTTTCGTCTGTGTTGTCAACTGTACTTTTTTGTATATTACTACTGTTCATTAGAACATAGCATTAAAATGTTGCGACTCTACAATTTTTTGGACTAAAATACCTTACAAATGCTTGCGAATATCGTGCACCAACAGATTCTTGAGGTAGTTGTTCTCATTGGCAAAGCATTCCACTATGTCGAAGTGATCAAACTCATCTTTGATCTCCAAATACATGTTCTGCATCAAGCAGGTGTTTTGCAGGAGTTCATAGAACTCCCTGCTTTGTTTCTTGAAAGTGGGACTGTCGTTTTGACCAGCTAAGATGTATACCCGCAGCCTCCTCATCTGAAGGTGGGTGTAGCAGTCAAATTGGGGGGACAGGGGGATGGCCCACTCAGGGGGCAACTGAACTGCTTCGTTGACAGAGGTGTGGACAAGTTCGCGGAGGTCATACACTCCTGAGATGAGGAAGGCGCCTTGGAGTCTGTTGGAACCGATGCTGCTGTCCAGGAAATCTGCGTTGGACAGTAGTTTTGCCACGAGATGAGCACCAGCTGAATGGCCGGCGAAGTACACCCCTCTATAAAAAAACAAAAGAAAGTGAATGTTAATCATGCTTGCAGCGCTGCAGCGGTCTTAGGCTGAGTGAACCACCTAACCGGTTTTTTTTGTATAAAGGTTGACAGATTTTGACGTTTATAAGATGGTCCAACCCAGCCTTAAAGTTTAGGTTTTATTTAGTTAGATACATTATAACGGTCATTCTCCGGATCTGGATTATTTTGTTGATTACCCCGACCTTTTTTATTTTTGAATTTAGAGTAATTTTAGGTAAAACATTTCAAAATAGACATTATTACGAGCATATTTTTTATATTGGCCCATCTGTAGCAAGCAGGAATAAAAAGTTATGCGACATCAAAATTTTCATGGTCGGGGTAATCAAAGTTGGGAGTCAGAGTAATCAAAAATAAAACAAAATATTTTATTTTCTAAGGTTTTTTTTAAGTTATGGTAAAATAAATGTTATTATAACTAGCCATTTGTTATTTTAATGTATAAACGACAATATTGTAAAGTTTCAACAAAATCTGTTAAGTAGTTGTTGCGTAAAAGAGTAAAAAACATACATATACATTATACATATAATATTAGTGACTCAATGTCCTATGTCTCCTATATGGGACAGAAGGCGTCCACAACAGTCCTCCATCGCATTCGGTCTTGAGCTTCGTGTTTGATCTCGCTCCAAGTCTTAACAGTGCGCCGCTATGTTTTTTTGGCGCGACCACGTTTGCATTTTCCCTGGGGGTTCCAATCTAGAGCCTGCTTGGGGATGTGATCGGGGTCCCTTCGGAGAGTGTGGCCGATCCAGTTTCACTTGCAGCGTTTATTCTGCTGAAAGATCGGTATTTCGTGGCAGCGTTCCAAAAGTTCAAAAAAACAGGATAGAGTAAATCAATCGTGCACTGAACCAAGGTCGGGGTAATCATATTCTTATCTCGATAACTCCGAAATCCTGCGACAAGTTGCATTACCGATCACCTCGGCACGCAGGCCACCACTAAAGGTTCACGGGGGAGGATAGAGCTCGTTTCTTAATTGCGTAGCTAGGGACGTAGGCGCACATTAGTGACGTGTCGGGGTAATCACGGTTAACGCCCGGACACAACTTCAAATAGTTATTTTACAAAACCTTTTAGTCATATAGTTATATCGTATTTAATTTATCAATGTAAATTTAATCAGTAATCGATTACATAAGCATTGAAAGCGGTAATAATAACGGATTAATTTATACGAGCAAATTTGTTCTGAAATCGGGAGCGCGGACACGTCGTGGTAATCAATTTTTGACGACTTACGATTTTTTTTAAATTACTTCAAGAACCAAAGTTATACTATTAGATAAAAATATTTGTTACTAAAATATTATGATATTCGGGTACTTTTTGGCCCCGGACACGTGATTTTCTTGGCCGGTGGAATGACCCATAAATATTCACAAGGTACCTATAGTCTTCGTGCGTAGAAAAAACAAGAAAAAAAAGTCTTATCATTCAACCGATGTAAATTTTCAATCGACAAATGTGGACAAATAAGTCGCAATTTGTTGTTACATCGTTCGTTCCGAAAGAATGTGACACAAACACTCAATACACTTTATCGTGAAAAAAGGTAATATTTAAACAGTCAACAGAAAATCTACTCTCATGCATTGTGATAAGTATCATTGTCACAACACACAAATGCTGAGCCATGGGTATACTTTCTTGGTGGGTCTTTATTTGGCTATCAAGAAAAGATGTAAATATCCCAGCAAATGTATTTATTTCCTTTTGATATAGGTACGGTTTGCTTGTTACGTTACGTTTCCTATAAATCTTAATCACTAGTGACAATTCCATCGTGTTCTATAAACATCTTCGGATTTTGGTTTTATACCTCCTTAATATTACTTTTCCTAACAAATTTCCCTTTTTTCAGGCTTTTCTTTTCAGTTTTGTCTTTTATTTAGATATACATTTAGATAGGTAGGTAGGTAGTAAGTAAATTAACAAAGTCTCAAGCCCCTTATTACAAAAAAGCTAAACTTGCATTGATCACTAGTTTAAATTGACATTTAATACTTATAAGTAGAAATATAATTTGCCTAGACTAGTCTGATAGACTACTAGTACTAGTCAGTGGACATAAGTAGGTATTCAAGGGAGGCACTTTGTTTGTACGCAAATGAAAATACCTACTGATATGTAGGTAAATTATATTAAGTTAGATATTACCCATCTGAAATGATTCTTAATAACTATGCAATACTAAATTAAAAAATATCAATCTGCTTGAATCATATAACAACATGGGTTACCTACTCGTACCTACTTCGAAAACGTGACGGTTTTGAAATTAACCATATCATCATGAATGAACATAAAATCAATTAGTTTTAGTTCGCAGGGTACAGTTGTAAAACAATAGTTGTGTTATATTTTGGCGGACCGTGAGTGAAAACTATTGTTTATAAACACATTTTGACAAAACGTGTGTATGCTAATATCAGGAATTGTTGTACTGTAGCGTGAGGATAAACGTGACACTTGTATTCGTACATAGAGATATTTATTTATTTATTGTGTGGTCCACAGCAGTTATAGGCCTGCGGTGCACCTTTCAGGAATTCGTCGGCCGTTTGGTGTAGTGGTTCGAATCGGACTACTATTCCGGAGGTTGCGGGTTCGATTCCCGCACAGTACAAACATTTGTGTGCATGAACATATGTATTTGTTTGTATTGGACTGGGTGTTTTCTATGTATAATATGTATGTATTTACAAAAAAAAAAGTATTTAAGTATGTTCATATCCGTTGTCTAGTACCCATAGTACAAGCTTTGCTTAGTTTGGGGCTAGCGGCGTAGTGTAAAATGTCCAAGGATATTTATATAAAAAAAAAATATTAGGTACGGCAAAGTAGCATAATTTATTTCCAATTCGGATACTATAGTGTTCAGCTTTATTATATCTGTACCTATACTTACTGCCTAAATCGCAAAAAATAGGTACACCGAATTTATTCTATTGAAAAGATATGAAGAAAAGCGACATAATATCACAAATTGTAATTTACTGGGCTATTAGTTATCTTGTGTAGGCAAACTCTTACCACAGAATAAGTAATAGTACAGGTACAGAAGGATTACTCCGCACGACGATTTAAATAAATGCGAGTCTTGCTGCGACGCGATACAGTGGAATTCAGCTCGCACAGCACTACGTATTTTATTTACCTACAAGTTTTGTCTCTTTCTATCGCGTGCCTCTGAACTCTTCTTACGCTGTTAGGGTTGCTGTCTAGTGAAAAAATAATTAATCTACTTATTTGTAATGAGGTACGTATGTAGGTAAGTAAAAATAACATTTCAAATATACCTAATTAGGATTAAAAAAATTTGTTCTATTACAATGTCTTCATTCATACCTACCTATTTTAACATAAGACAGATAAATTAAACATACTATTACAGAAAAAAAAGAATCCTATACTATCCTAAGAATTTTATTATTGATTACCTACATGGCCAACATACCTTTCAGCATCTTTGGGAAGCGAAAAAAAAAAGATAAATCCGGTAATTTCTTTTCGAATTTAAACACCCGAACGCCGCACAATATTTCTTTCTCTTTATGTCCATTTTTAAATAATACTTCGATCATAGAATTATAATCATACTAAAACGCAAGCCAGCGTCCTGACGAGCGAGCGCGTGACACTCGACTGATATAATACCCGCCGGCGGGGCGCTTCGCTGTAGGTAATTATCGGATGTACCGCGCGGAGTGAGCCAGGCCTGCTCTTACTTAATATTCATCCTAAATACATCCACATAAATTAAAACAATAAAAAAATAATAAATGGTTACTGTCTTGAAACCAGAAATGAAAATAAAAAACTTAACAGAATTTGTTTAAATTCAAAAATCGAATGTCAAAAACATTCGTCCCACGTAATGAAAAATGGCCTAAAACCTGTTTGAGGGGCCGCGTTTATTTTTCTTAAGAGCCGTTGAATTTTGTATTTAAAGTAAGGTTGTAAAATAAAGTACATTATGCGATAAGTATTCGATTTCACGTTCGACTGCGTTAATCTGAGAATTTACATGCAATTCGTGAGTAGAAAACTTGTGTGTGAATATTTTACGGTTCACTTACGACGTTACTTTAGTATAGTTAGTGACCCGAGTTGACAAAGAGTCGGTTACGTTAGTGTAGATGTATTTTTTGAACCAACTCAAGTCACTAAACTTCTACAAATTGTTTAAAGCAGTGTTTTTCAACCTTTTTCATGACATGAATCCCCGACCGTTCGCATTTTTATCCCATGCATTTTATAATGTTACAAAGATGTTGTAGGGACAGAATACTAACAATCCATACAATTTTTTTATGCATTTGCATAATTAGATTTTTTTTTTTATTTATTTCGGATGAATCTCTATAACTTTATTTTTTTACTGAGGTAGTTTTTACGACCTCTCTCGCGACCCCCCCTATAGTGGCTTCGCGACGCCCCAAGCGGTCGCGACCCACAGGTAGAAAAACACTGGCTTAAAGGATTTTTATGATGGTAATGACTATTTATATGATGTTGAGTCATAAATTACCTGCTGCCCATTTTCTCTGCATATTCAAAGACGAATTTGGCTGCATTCTGAATCTGGTTGACGATTTCTGGCAGGGTAGCGGCAGGGCAGAGGTCGTAACCCACTACCACGGTCTTTACCCTGGACTGGTGCAGGGGAACCACAGGGTACCTCGACAGCTCCCTGGAGAGCTCCTGCCAGTAGCCGCCGTGAACGTAGACCAGGATAGGGGCATCTGAAATACACAATGGTTGGTTTAAACCATAGTACCTACTTAGAATAAAACATCTTAGCTTAGAATAATGAGTACTATTTTACGAGAGAAAAATATTTTCTCCTAGATTTATTTGACTTATGCCCGTTTTCACCTTCAATCCCTAATTTTTAAGTGATCCTATGGTAGCAAATAACAGAAATTTTGTTTACATAGGGGACATTTAAAAATTAGGGATTGATGGTGAAAACGGGCATTAATGTGCGTAGAGTTCATCAATTTCTTTTGAGTTTGAGTGGAGGAATACGTGACTTTGTAGGAATAAACTCTTTTGACCCATAGGTGGATAAAATTGTATTATTTGCGTAGGAGCTACTAATGTACCTAATTGTATTTAACTTTCTCTATAATTATGGTATCATCTAGAACAAAGTATTTAACGGGATACTGTACCGACAATTAATAAACATAAGTACCAAATAAATAAACATCCCCGCGGCTTTAATAAGCGCTATTGTCTTCGTAAATATTACAAATTGAGATGAATGGTATTTAATTACCTTTATCTCCGTTGTCATTTTGTTCAAATATGTATCTTAGAAGTAAGGCACGTCATAACACAAGTCGTTCTATTAACCCACTTTTTTATTATAGTCTCAAACGCTAAACTCAAACGTCATCAAGCATTGTCCAATAAAATCGTTGATACTTAATAAACGAGTTAATCTATTAAATAAACATTAACACTTAATTACTTAGGGCTAATGGCCTCTACAATCATTAAAAGTAATAGATGCCATATAAATAGAAAAATAATTGAATTAAACTTAAGACTGGCGACATCACTTGTCTCTTGAAAAGAATCAATTAAGTCAAATAAATACTCGTATAGCCCATTTGGAGTAATGGTCAACAATACTATGGGTAGGTACTAGGCAACAAGGATAATATTACTAGCAGCAGTTCAAAAGAAGTCGACTCCTATGGGACCTTTGTCCACTATGCGGTCGTAGGCAGTTAGTAATTCCGAATGATAAGGTCAAAGTGTGTTTCTTACAGAAAGTTTGTGTAGGTATTGGGTGTATAGCACAAAACTATTTACTTTGGTGTATGGGAGAGTCGGCCGTTTGGTGAAGTGGTTCGAACGGAGTCCTATACTGAGTAATCGCGAGTTCGATTCCCGCTCAGTACAAACATTTGTGTGCATGTACATTTGTTGTTATTGGACTGGGTGTTTTCTATGAAAAATATGTATGTATTTACAAAAAAAGAAAGGTACTTATGTATGTTTATATGCGTTGTCTAGTTTGGGCTGCTTTACTTAGTTTGGGCCCCTAGTGGCGCAGTGTAAAAATATCCAAGGATATTATTTATTAGTCGTTCAAAACTTACCATCTGGCAGGTCAGTGCCTAGTATATCCAGTTTCTGTCCAGGGGTAGAACCATATTCTATTTCCAATTTGTGTGGAACGGTGTTAGTTGCTACATCGCTAGCTGAAAAAACACATTTTTACTATTAGTACTAACTTAAAATCTTTTTTAATTCGAAACAATAGGAGTTACGACTATTTACAAAAATAAGTTTTTATTTAATCAGGCTCGATGATCGTTAATGTTTTACTTATATGATTTCATTTGCCTTTAATGCATTGCATCACGTAAAAAACATCTCCCTAAATTACAAGAGAAGGTAAAATGTTGTCTCTTTCATGTGTTAGACCTTTTAATTAAAATTCCTGTCCAGGTGTCACAGGTATGTAACATAGTTAGGAACAGAATTTACTACGTTTGTACCGGAATGTAAATAAAAGGAAGGATTGCAATTATCATTTACAAATGAGTGAGAATATTAAAATATAGGGTGTGTAACGAACAGAATAGCAAATTCTTATAGAAACTGCTTCTTTCTCAATATTATAATAGTGCTGCAGCGTCTATGATACAATATTACATACAGTATGTACATACGGACTACGGAGTAGGTACATATGAGTTTAGTAATTAATAAAGCGTTATATGACTTGATTTTAAATATTCTGGCAATCCAGTTTTTAAGTTTGATTTCAGCCTGAAAGCACTCTTAATTTTAGGTCAATCAGGTATTACATTCTGAATTGTTTCAATAATTTCACTGGATCGTTATTATTTTAATGAACGGTCTAATAGGTATGTTTAGTTCCACGTTACGATTGTTTTCTTTCTCTGAAACGATGTTAAGAAGTAGGTACTAACTTTTCAAGTGAAGCAAGAAAAATATCTTATCCTTGTAAAGACCGTGCCTAATTAATCCTTAATTCCATATAACAAATGAAGGTAAGCACCTTAATTTAATATTATCGCTCTACTTAATGACGAGAAACTCCATCATTGCCATGTGGCACCATAAGATACATAATAATGGTGTACAACTATCATTATCTGTTTAGTCTCGTGAAACTACGACACGAATAATCACGGCAAAAATAAAGTACATTTTTTAATCATAAAGTACCATTATATCGTTTTCTATCCCATCTTACTTTTTGTTTTATTTGGTTACTGATTAAAAATAAAACTTAATTTTGAAGTTAATGCCGTACAACCCGATCGAGTTAACGCGCACCTGGCAGCCGTGACGTCACGTCGACGCTCTATTACCACAGAATAAGTAATAGTACAGGTACAGAAGGATTACTCCGCAAGACGATTTAAATAAATGCGAGTCTTGCTACGACGCGATACAGTGGAATTCAGCTCGCACAGCACTACGTACCTACAATTTTATTCACCTACAAGTTTTGTCTCTTTCTATCGCGTGCCTCTGAACTTTTCTTACGCTGTTAGGGTTGCTGTCTAGTGAAAAAATAATTAATCTTCTTATTTGTAATCAGGTACGTACGTAGGTAAAGTATTACTGTTATTTTACCTTTGTAAAAATAACATTTCAAATATACCTACTTAGGATTAAAAAAAATTTATTTTATTACAATGTCTTCATTGATACCTATTTTAACACAAGACGAATAAATTAAACATACTATTACAGAAAAAAAGAAGAATCCTATACTATCCTAAGAATTATTGATTACCGACATGGCCAACATACCTTTCATCATCATTCTTTGGGAAGCGAAAAAAAAGATAAATCCGGTAGATTTCTTTTCGAATTTAAACACCCGAACGCCGCACAATATTTCTTTCTCTTTATGTCCATTTTTAAATAATAGAGCGGCAGGATCTTATGCGTAAAATCAAATAGACCGGTTCTCGAAAACAGCGGCGCGGCAGCGGGGTGGCAGCGGGCAACGAGCGGGCAGCGGCGAGGGAGCGGGCAACGAGCGGGCAGCGCACTCCTTCTTTTGCCCACAATAAATCGAGCGTTAGGAATAAATTTGAATCGAAATAAAATTGTCGCCGTTGTTCAGACATTTCGTTTGCGAATAAAAACAAATATCTCGAAAACACAACCCCGAACACAACACTTCGCCGCTAAAGCGCCGCGCGAGCTGCCCGCTTGTTTCGAGAACGGGTCTGCGTTGCCCGCCCCGCTCCAGCGCCGCCGCCGCTCCCGCCCCGCTGCCCGCTAAGTTCGAGGCTGAGGCCTTACGGACCGAGCAAACGCAGAGAGGTGTGCGGATAAGTGCAAAGGAGAGTCGTATTCTAGCGAGGTGCGCAGTTAGAATTTATTAGTAGGTTGAATGTTATTTGCTCCCAATTCTAGCGTTCGCTCCATCTCCGTAACAGAGCGTCGAGGTGACGTCACGGCTGCCAGGTGCGCAGTTAGCTCGATCGGGTTGTATAGTATTTGCTCCCAAACAATCTCTAAGGCTGAGTTGCACCATCTAAACTTTGACCGTAACTATAACGATAACCGGCGTCTTTTGTATGGAGTTTAACAGATTTTTGACGTTTGTTAAAGTCAAAGTAAGATGGTGCAACCCAGCCTTAAATCACAATGTAGGGATGTGTAAAAGAAGGAGATTTTCTCACCTTCAGCGACAAACTTGACGTGATGCTGCAGAACCTCTTGTGACGATGGAAACCGCCTCGACCACTTGCTGGGGGAGTATTCCAACTCCAGGTCCATGGAGTCCATGATGACTGACATCTTGCTTGCGGTGTTTGGTGGTATCTAGAAAGATAAACGTAATCTTTAAGTGGTACACTCATACAATAAGAGCAGGATTATTATAAATAGCTGACAACATATCAAACTATATTTTTGTAACAAAATAGCATTAAAATGTGTTACTACAAGTAATAAAATGCCACAATGTTTATACAGGGTGTTAGGTAAATGGGTATATAAGCCGACACTAACCCATGTTAACATGGTCATATAAATGGTATGGTGAAATCAGAAATTTGATATCAATACTCAATACTCAAATCTTTATTGCATTTCACAGTGTACATTAGGTCATAAATATATAATTGGATCACCATGAACCCTGTCGGACATTTAAATAATTATTATTATTATTGTATTAAACTAGATTCTTTAATATTATTAATTAGAATAAATATTAAATTATTGTATTTAGTGTATTATTATATTAGAACTACGTCTAGATGTTGTGCTGATTCATTTTGATAAGTTTGTGGTGATTACTACTGAAAGATCAGTTTAAAACCATTAAAAACACGGTAAATCTTTTATATTTTGCTTACTTTGGTATTGAAATTCGGCACAGTGTAGGTGCTTCATATTGTATGTAAAATATGCGTTGAACATCTGCGACGATAGGAGAAAGGCACACGTAAGTTTTTGAAGCTTGGAGTGCCTATGATATGGCAAAATGTTTGCAGTTAATTTCACAGAATTTTCCTGGTTTAAGTAGTTAATGAAAAACTAAAAGAAGGTATTTTTGATGGACTTCAAATAAGTCTATTAATAAAAGACACCACTAAATTTGAGATTTCCATGAATTATGTGGAACGGCTTGTGTGGATATTTGTACCCGTTGTACAAAATTTCCTCGGAAAGCATGAGGCTGACAACTATGTAGAATTTGTATACGATGTGCTGGTTCAATTCAAAGATTTAGGCTATTATATGGGTATAAAATTAAAATGTCTCAACAGTAACCCAGATCAATTCCAACAAAATATAGGAGAACTAAGCGAAGAACAAGGAAAACGTTTTCACCAAAATCCCCGGCACCAAAATGGCTGTAGGCCAGTGTAATTATACCTAGCAGTGTATGTTCATTTACATTTATTAATTCAAAGTTGTTGTTGTCAATATTTAATGTTAAATTTAAATTCAATGGTGTTTTCTGGGATGGGTGAAAGGACATTATTTGGTTTATTTCCAAGTTGTGTTCGGATAGCCAGTTTTTTGTTTTGTACAGAATATTACTAAGTATTTCGTTTATGTTTGTAGAATCTTGACTTTTGAAAAGAATAGATAGGTAGGTACATCATCCGCAAACATCACACAATATTCATTCAGAGCTTCGGCAAAGTCATTGATATAAATCAAAAATAATAAACACCCCAACACGCTACCTTGGGGTATTGAAGCGTTTACACTTATTGTATCAGATTTGATTCTTTCAATTTTTTTGTTTTGATTATTAAAGTGCTCAATTTCTATTGTTTGCTTTCTATTATGAAGGTATGATATCAACAAGTCATGACAAGTACCCCTAATTCCTATATATCATAGAGTTTATTTAATAATATATTATATTGCACTTTATCATAAGCTTTTTGGTCATGTCTATTAATATCCCAATTGCGTATTTCCTATCGTTAATTATATTATGTATTTCCTGGATATATTTGAATATTGCAAGGATGGTTGACTTGTTTTTACGGAATCCATTTTGACATTCACTTAGAATATTATATTTTTCGCAAAACTTATAGATACGGTAAATTACTTAGTTTTAACGTCATTTTTTGATTACCTACATAGTTTAGGCATAATTTAAAGGCTGATTTACACCGTATTAAGTAGGTAACTAAATTTAAAAATAATTTTAAGTGATTAATTGCACTACTTAATACGTATAAATCAGCCTTAAAAAGCCAATTCTTGCGGAATCATGTTTAACTACTTAAAAACAGGAGTTTCTTGTTATTTCTCTAAACTTTTAGCAAGATCAAAAACATGATTTTTTTTCTTCTAATATACTACATACTAGGCTGTGTTAAGTTCATAATTAGATTAAATTATATGAAGATTCTTATTCTTCTAGGAAAATTTAGATTTAAATTTAGGAATTTAGATAGGCAATAAGCATTTTTCCGCGTGCCTGCTGTATCTTTTTGATAAATAGCAGGTACTGGATTAACGATTAACGGACTTAGGATAATTTAACGGAAGTTAACGAATCAGTTAACATTTTTTAAAGTTAACTTAAAAGTTAATCCGTTAATAGAAATGTTAACTTCGTTAATTAACGATTAACGGATTAAAGAGTTAATGCCCAGCTATGGTAATAAGCCTCTGTAAAATTCCTAATTCATTTTAAGTCCTAACAGGAAAAGAGCTGTATAATATGAGTTTGGCGTATCTGTGTGCCTGCATGCCATCGTACATCGTAGCACCCAAACGGATAAACCGATTTTGATCTAATTTATTGTTATTATGAGGCCAATAAACGTGCTATGCCCGAGTAATGTAGCACCTTGTGGCCGTGACATTGAACCTTTTCCGCGTACAATACCATTTTTGTTTTGCAATTGTTTTGTGTTATTGTTATGTATACTCTTTTATTTAAAATTATATGCTCGCTCTATATACTACAATTGCAAATCCGGTAGGTATGTCTAGCTAGATCTTAATTAATAACAGCGACCACAAAGCACGATCTTAAGCCATTTTTCTCCAGCCACTGCTTAAATGCAAATTTAAAAATTTAAAGCAAATTAATTACTTGCAAATTTAAAAATCAAAGGATTAAATTCTACTGCTCAAAAGCAACAAATTTCCTACAGAAATACTATCGACATTCTCAAAAAAAATGTCCCCATACTAATTAGCTGATTAGTGACGATAATTTGTATGGAAAAGTTGTTTTTTTTAAGATTTGAACTTCCTTCTCTTGAGGAAAATTGTTGCATTTGTGCAGTAGAATCAATCCTTTTTGTTTAATCCACCCTTTATGTTCTACATAGTTTAAAATACCAACAGCTTTTCTAAGATTAAAGTAGGTACCTACCTAATATAATTTTGCTGACAAAATTTTGACGTAATTTTTATACATAGGCATCGACTACATCCGGTAACAAAATGGCTCGGCCTACTGACATCATTTTAGAAGCAGATTAATTAATTATATTATTAATTGGAATTTTAGATTACATTCCCAAACTAAAATAAAAATATTACCTTCTTAGGTTCCTTGTCTGCTTCAGAGGCTGGTGTTACGAAACTAACAATAAAATTAATAAACTTTTCAATTAAAAGCATCATCTTGAAACTACACTTCAAAACTATTTTAGAGACTACAAAACTGAGTTACTTTTAAAATTAATAATACTAAATTAAAGCGTAAAAGACGCGAGAGCGGAGCGAGCGTAGCAAGCGCACTACGGCAAAGCAGACTCCGCTAAGCGCTTTTAGCATACTGCTCAATGGTAGGTTACACTAGTTAGTAGGTACTTTGTAATTATATTCTTTTGTCACAATGTTTAAATATTTACGCGTCGCATCTAGGGTTGCCAGGTGTCCGGCTTTAGTCGGACATGTTTGGCTTTTTACGGACTTGTGTTTACAGCCAAATTAATATTGTCTTGTCCGGCCTGTCCGGCTTTTGTTAGGCTTTTTATGCTGCCGATGTAGTCGAAAGTCGAGCCACAGAATAATATCGAGCACGCATGGGATGTTGGACTACTGATACCAAGATGATAGTGATAGTCATGAGGTATGACTAATTGCACCCCCTCCCCCCGTGACATGCTTAAAAAAGGTATGTGTCCGGCTTTTAGGGTTAAATGTCCGACCAAATTAAGCACCGAATCCGGCTTATGTGTTTTTTACCTGGCAACCCTAGTCGCATCGTTTTGTCCTTTAGCACTGCTCGGGGTAAAGCGTTCAAATAGTGACAACGACCACCTTTATTACAGATACATTAAGAAAGGTTTTTATCTTGTTTTTCTTAACATTTTCTAAGACACGTTTGGACAATTTAGATGTATTGTGTTTTACAGACGTCATTATTTGCTAAAACAGTAGATAATAGGTGGAATAATTTCATGAAATCGCATCGGTCCCATAATAAAATTCAAGTCAAGACAATTCAACTTTGTTTCCACTATACCAATTTAGTATTCTCGTAGTACAAAGAGTTGGTTAGAATCTCAAATTGAGGTGAAATAAATATTGAAGATATTAAGTAGGTAATTTTTGTACGAATAAAATATGGATAATTAGCTATAAGTAGTCTATCTACACTAATAAATTAATTCACTAATGAATTCTTTTTATTTTGCACTTATCCGAGTATTTAGCTTTATGTTAAACTTCTTCATCAAACAAGCGACGTGCATTCTGAATGATCATTATATACTTATAGAAGTCACTGTGACAGTGAGTCTCTGTTTCATCATATTTTCATAGTTATTCAATCTTATTTATAATTGCCATGTAAAGTCTACCTTGTCAAATGTATTACCACGAACGATACAAAATGCAGAAAACTTTAAACTAGACTTAGAAGAAAACAAGTTTTTCAGTTCTAAGTTCAATAAGGCTGAGTTTCACCACCTAACTTTAACGGTAACTATGACGGTAACCAGTGCCTTTTAAGTACTTATATGGAGTTTGACAGATTTTTGACGTTTGTTAAAGATAAAGTAAGATGTTGCAACCCAGCCTAAGTAGTTAGATATCAAGTGTAGGTACTTAATTGATTACTCATCCGATGTTGAAAGTAAAATATCTAATCTCTAGTTTAATAGAGTAAATATTTACATTGATAACAGTGAATATAATGACAGAGGTTACATCATTGTACTTATAGCCCTCCTCAACAACTTTAACATCAAGAAATCTCAGATTTACTTTAGTAAATAAATCATAAATACCTACTTCATAAGTAGATAAAAAAAAGTTTAAAATAAAAGTATTAGTAGACAATGCTGATATGATATTAATTTCGTGAATGTCTGTTATATTTGTATAGATAATTTAATTTTCTATTGCAATCATCAAAACCGATGTCAAATACAGTTTATCTCAATTTGATGAAATTAGGGACGCTCCCTTTGAAGCCAATTGTTGATTGAAGTTTGAAACGTTGGCTTAGATGATTAAGAAAGGTTATCGGGGATCATCAATCTATTTTGTGTACCATGCCCAGTATTGCCCAGATGTCCCCACAAACGCGGACATGTAATAAATAAAATATAGTTTGTAAATAAATGTCTTGTCTATGTGGGGTGCTGATTAGTTAAAGTTTATATAACCCTGTTTATGAAGTGATAGATTTATGTAATAGCTAATCTAAATTATGATATTGTCAGGCCTGTGTTTATAAATTTTACGTTGTGATAATGTAGATTGTTATGTTTCTAAATAGACCCAAGTTGGGTTCGCGTTTTTAAATGTTGCGCAAATCTCGATTGAAACGCAAATTAGTTTTAAACAATTTTATTACTGAAAACGAAACGTGCTTCTCGAGTACAAAGTCAAGGCTACTGATAACTTGATACCTAATATCTTTAGGTATAACAAAAAAAAAACAAATTATAAAATCAAATAAATGTTGTAAAAACATTGTGCTCGTTTACGATTTAAAACTTTGTAGTTTCTTCTTTAAACTTGCTACTTTATCGTCTTCATTTTTATTATGAAGCATTTTCTCGAATGTGTCAAATAACTAGATGCTCTGGTGGAACGTCTTAAAATGTAGGGGAGACCGGGGTGAGTTGTAACAGTTGAGAGTTGTGACATTATCGATTTTTGTAAACCTTAATAAGTTTATACCATCAGCAAGCTCGCAACAGCGTGCATACTCGTATGGTGGCTAGAGACCTGAACTAAACAAATGGTTCTGTTTTTTCCTTTTGAAGTACGGAACTCTAAAAACGCGCACTGTTACGAGCTCGCTAGTAGTTAATAAGTTCAAAATATCGACAATGTCACAACTGTCCTCTGTTACTACAACTCACCTCAGTCTCCCCTACATAATGATATTCAAAGCCATAGAATATTTTATTCGCCGCTTATCTCTTTACTTTATTTACAAAACGATACTTATCTAAATTGTTTCTAGTCTAAATCTGGTGGAAGATGCCAGCGGAAAAAAACCGTCGCAGGTCAACACCAGATACTTTCTACAAATATTATTGGTTAAAATGGGCTTAATGTTTATTTATTAATTAAGTAAATGCTTAACGTCAATAGATCTATTAGACTATTATACCTAATGTTTGTGAATACGGGCGTTAATCGGTTTTTAGGTATACCCAAGTAAATATAATAACTTGTTTACAGTAACTTTCGTTAACGATCTTCTTAACAATCTTTTTATTTGGTTAAGTTTAACTATTGTTATTTTTGACAGCACGTTACCACCTTACAAGTCTTACAATCAAAACAATCGAACACCACTCGTAGTACAAGAATTGTTTAGTTAAGTCTGATAATTTCTTGCGATTAGTAATTATTTGTTGTTACTTTAACGTAGAGTACTTATTGACCTAAGTCCCCGGGACTTGACTCAAAAGCTCGGAACAAAAGACGGCCCTAGATCCTTATCTTTTGCACGCTCTTGGCAAAATAACTTTGTAAGTACCTATCTAACTTTAACACTCAATACTAAATAGAGATACGCCCGTATTCACAAACATTACTATGAGGTCTCACAGTGCGCGTGGACGCACAGGGTGACACACGAACCTGCAATCACAGCAGAGCTCTGTATAACGCTTTGCGTTGGATTTGCTGCTTCACTTAAGCAAGCATCGTTTTAGAATACGGGCCTTAGTACCTAATAATACATGTAGTAATACATACATGCAGTAAGTAGATCTATATCTTCAGGGCTGAATTTAAGTACCTTGAAGCCACGATAGCTGAACGGTGAAGGGGTCGGACTAGCCGACTCGTGATCCGAGGAACGCGGGTTCGAACGCTCGACTATTGTGGTGAGCCTACTCGTGACACAAGCATTTAGCTTAGTACGAGGGGATAACAGGACTAATTTTTGCAAAAACAAAATTACTTACTAAAAAAATACTTACCTACCTACTATATTCGTAAGGTTAAAAATAAGAGCAATATTGCTCGGCTAGGAAACGTTTATTGCTTGATTGCCCTCAATATCATCTCATATCCTATGAGTGACGCCACAAGTGACGTAATAATAGGGGTTAGCTCTTGCACAAACAAGGATGTTTGCCAAGGTGCTAATGTATCGGGAACAAATAAGAAAGAAAATACTTAATAAAAGTTATACATATTAACCAAAAAGTAAAAGATAGTAGGTATGGGAATTGATGAGAATGAAGGAATTTTGTGACAAAGTTTCATGCGCTCTACTTACTTCTTATCAGCACAGACATTCTTATTTCGAAACAATGGTAGAGTTAGTTCAAAAAATGAGTTTTTCCCATCCGATCCCCTGCAATCGATCCCTGGTGGATCGTTTTTATTTTTAATTATTTTGTATTCCCATCGGATCCCCTAGTATTATCAGCTTATTTTTGGTAGATATAGTCAATAATAGTGGTACAGTTAACACTAAAATGCATTTTAGAATTAACTATGATGTGCTTTATTTAGTTTATCCGAAATTAACAATAACAAGCATAGAAAACGGTCATGGTCTTGTTTAGCAAAATAATACGTGCAGTGCTTGTCGTTCAAAGACAATCAGCATCCATTGTATATCATAGCTACCTTAACTTGCTTAGAATTTATACAATGAGGGGTTCTGTTGGTAATTGAAAACTATAAGGGGATCGCTTGGTATTTTTAATTCTCGGTGAATCAGTTACAGTGGATCGGATGGGAATAAATAAAAAAATAATACCACGTCATATGACGTGTAAAAAAACCTCCCTAAAACTCTACTTAGAGAAAACTAATTAATTTTATGAAGATAAGCATAGCGTTTTCAATGCCTTATAGCAATAAGTATAGTTCTCGGCAAAAGCTTAATGGATAACGATTTGTTGAGACTAATAAAGACAACTAAAAGAAAAATATTGATGTTAAGTTGCAATGACCCTATTCACAATGTTATTGGATACCTATATGTGGTGGTGAGGCAACATGCTGGCTTCTGTCATTTGATACCAAGGTATCTTATTTCAAATAGGTACTACTATGTGTTAACTTTATAACACTGTTAAGACTGTCATTAGCTTTCTCTACTAATTATAATAAGAATATAACTGATAAAGTAAGTAAATAATTAGTGCCTCCCCATTACTAAAGAATGGAAACGTCCTGCTAACCTATCTTGTTCAAAGAAGATTTGTAGTTAAACGATATTCAAATACTTAATTAAATGACAAAATTTAATTGTGATTTGGATTAATCTGGTGGATTATCTATCTATCTATACTTATAATAAATCTGTAGAGAGGTCAATTCTGTA